ACTTTTGGGAGTATATATACGACCCACCGTATATATACTAAGTCAAAATTACAAAGAACGAACATTATCTAGGAGTTCAAATGCCCCTTAAAACATCCCTAACACACACTAAGACATACATAGAACGCACACACTGAATTAAGCTGAAAAAGTCGAATCGTCCTTGATATGGCTAAAGGTATAGCCGAAAGCGTTTGGAAATATAAAACATTTGGACATTTTTTATACACCCTTTGTCCAGAAAAGAAATCTCTTGTTAGAACACAAGAAAAATTAAATAAAAAGCCTAACCGTAGTACTGTGTCTGTCGTTTTTAATGAAACATGCATAAGAGAAGGATTGCTGCCTAAATATTCAACCACATATATATATATATATATATATATATATATATATATATATATATATATATATATGTGTGTGTGTGTAAAATACAATAGGAAAACTGTAATATTAGCCGACGCGTTTCGTCCAATGTCGATTTTCTCAAGGCAAAAACGAAATGAATTTATTAAAACAAAGTAACTAATTATAATAAAACAAAATGTCCTTAGGAATTTGAAGAAATTAGAAAACGCTATTATATTCATATTGTCAACTATTATAATAGCGTTTTCTAAATTCTTCCAGATGCTAACGGCATTTAGTTTTGTTATTATTAGTTATTTTGCTTTAGTAAATTCATTTCGTTTTTGCCTTGAAAAAGTCCACATTGGACGAAACGCGTCGGCTAATATTACAGTTTTTCTATTGTCTTTTGCATTTATAAATATTGTCTTTTTCTACAGGTTAACTCTGAGAAGTTTTTCATATATATCTATAGCGGCTCCGATTGAAGAATCGGAGAGGCGAGTTCGAATTCCAGTCGAATTCATTACATTCACTTACGTGATAATACACTTGAGAAAGGTATTAATCCTCCTCTTCTCTCTCCAGCTATGGATAAATAGCAGGACAGACTGGATTCTATAGCCTTGGATATATATGAGAATGAATATATATATATATATATATATATATATATATTAAAAGAAGAGAAGAGAGGTGCCGCAAACGTTTTTGGTTGTAATGTGGATTTATTTAGAAAAAATATATTATGCTTTGTTTTACATAATTTTACGACACGTGTTTCTGGTCTCGCGACCGTCTTCAGGTAAAAGCGGAATTTCCCATATTATTAAAAATAATTAATTTTTTCCTTATGTTCAATGTTAAATATTCTTGATATGACACATTCTCTGTTTTTGTGTTAGTAATCCGAATTTCTTTCTTGAATTGGCAATGAAGAGTTCTGCGCGAAGGGTCATAAAACAATTAAGGTTGGTCCAGCGAAATGATGAATTAGTTATCGGCATTTTATCTTTTAATGTTTTACTGAGCCCTATGCGTTCTTGGATCTGTTTCCATTTTGGTGCGTTTCTGTCAGCATGCGTGTATATATGCGCGCGTATATTTCCCCTCTATACATATACTGTCTTACTACGAGGAATTAGTAAACTTATTTGTACATATACATGCATACACACACATCTAATAATTTATTGCAAAGATACATTTACTCCCACAAACACCCTACATACAATTAAAACATTAAAAATTGAAATGATTAATGGGATGAATCAAAACAATAGGTTACTGATGATATTAGACCTGTTGGGTTTATCCAACCCCGGTTGTATAGTCTTCTGAAGATTCATAAAGATGATGTACCCCTTCGACCCATTTTGTCCATGTCAGGCTCGTCTCAACATAAGGTTGCTAGTTTTCTTTCAGACCTTCGTCAACCTGTCGTTGAGCATTTTAGCTCGTATACTAGTAAGGATTCTTTTTCATTTGTTCAGGTTATACGTGATACTCCTTCTAAAAATAAATTTATGTGTTCCTTTGACGTATGTCCTTTGTTTACTTGTATTCCAGTAATGGAAACTATTGATATTTCTTGTGACATGTTATAGCGAAGTTTTTTGTCACCTCCAGATATCCCAGAAAACGTGTTTGTTGAGCTTATGTAATTCGCTACTAGTCTGTTGAGTTCAGCTTTAATAATTTCATGTACAGACAGATTGATGGGGTTGCCATGGGCTCCCCCTGGGACCAGCTTGGGCCAATATTTTTGTAGGCTTTTATGATTCGTCCCTCTTTACTTATGGCAATGCAACATCTATGTACCGTCGGTATATGGACGATACATTTTGTCTTTTCAGTAGTGAAGTGGAAGCCGAATCCTTTCTCTCAGTCATCCATCTTTGAAATTTACCATTGAAAAGGAGTCTAATTTTCGTCTCTCCTTTCTCAATGTCCTTGTGCATCGGACTCTTTCTCAATTTCTTACTTTGGTGTTTCGCAAAGCAACGTTTTCTGGTTTGTATACGTGTTGGGACTCATTTTGTCCCAAAAAGCATAAAAATCAATCTCATCAAGACCTTAACTCACAGGGCCTTGATGATTTGCAGTGAACAATATTTGGATGAAGATTTTATCCGCTGCACTCTTTTGGAAAATGGATATCCTAGTGATACTCTTGATAGTGTCATGCGTCATAAGATTATTAATTTTCGAAAGGATAAACAATACTTAGTTCAGAAATGTCCTATTTATCTTTGGCTTTCTTTTATTGGTTCGCGAGGCGAGCTGACTGCTAAGCGGACCTTGTCTGCTGTTCAACTGTGCTATTTTTCTGCTCAACTAAGGATTCATTTTGTGATTCGTTCTGCCTTTTCCTCTATGCTTAAGGATCCTCTTCCTCCCCATCATGTTTCTTCGGTGATTTATTCGTTTAATTGTGGTTGTGCTAGCAACTACATAGAAAGGACTTCCCAATGCTTAGATTGTAGGATTAGGCAGCATGTCCCATCACGTGTTCTTAATCCGGGATGCCCGTAAGAGCCAGCTGGTCAATACTTCCGGGTCAGCTATTATTGAACATCTTATAAATTGCAGGCATTGTGCAATGAATTTCAGTCCGGACTGATTCTCTGTTATGTCCAGATCGCACTCTCCTTTTCATTTGAGGGCACTGGAGTCTCTGTACATCCGGTCCAGGGAGCCGTCTCTTTGTAAGCAAAAAGACTGTCTCCTTGGACTTCACATTATTAGACTCTAGTGTCTGTGAATCATAAATTCCCCCCATGTTTGTTTTTTCGCTGCGCAAATTCTTTCCTTCAATATGCCCTTTGTGAAATTTTCTAAACCTTCTTTCCTTATTATGTGCCATAGAAAGTTCATCTGTCGCTTTCTTATGCGACGGGTAAGTGTCCTTCTTTTCCCATTTGCTCTAAAACTTCATCCTTGCTCACATATCCAGTCCATTGTATTCTCTGTAGAACCTTATTTCTGTTGCTTCAAGTATCTTCTTCATCTGTGAGGCGATTCTGTAGTATTTACTGCCATATAGAAGGACTGGCATTTCGTAAGAGTTCAGTACACTTTTCTTGGATTCTACCTAAATTTTCTTCTTTCTTAACAATTTGCTTATCTTTCTTATCTGCTTTTAATCATTTCACCCCAAGCAAGTTAATAAATCCACTAAGACGCAGAGGGTTACTTAGTGTGAATGGATATGAGAAGAAGAAATGCATTATTAAGGAGAGAGGACGATAAAAGAACAGGTACTTAGAAGACAGAAGATAACGTTTGGTATTGCATTTAAATTTTGATGATCGGTTTTCGGTGTCGCACTTTCAGTCCTCTGTCAAAATACTTCCCAGCTATTTAAATTGTTGTAGTTATTTGATTTTAGTATTTCCACTTTGCACGTGTTGCTAATTTAGCTGACAACTATATATTCTGTCTTCTTGCTGTTTCGTCCTTTCTTCTCGCTTTCATTCACTTCCTTTTTTAGTACTCTTTACAAAGAAAGAAAACTCTTAAAAACAAAAACGATGACATCTCTCTATATTTCTGAGATGAGGTATTGTAGTTATTTGCATTATTTACATTGTTCGGATAGTTGTCATCATCTTTATTGTCATATTCACGACGTTTCGACCGTTGTACGCTCCGGTGATTGGAATTTCGAACTGGACCGATTGTTCTAGATCCACGCGCCATGACTGTTCCTCTCTGCCTCAAGGACACATAACCCAGTGGATAATAGCGCTGGTTGAATCCAGCGACTTGGCCCAAAGAGTTGTGAGTTCAACACCTGACGATGGCAGTGTAGAGTTGAGTTAAAAGGTGATTACTGAGACATTCGAAAGAGGCATGGAACGTGGAACTAGAACATTCTACCCCCGATGGGCGAAATAAAAGGTTCAGTTCGAAATTTCTACCACCTGAAGAAGGCCGAAACGTCGTGAATATGGCAATAAAAATGTAAATAATGTAAAAAAAAACCCCCAAAAAAACGATGTCCATGCACGTGCTTAAAACGACAATATTGATATAGATTTCCAACAATTGACTTTTCTATCTTAGATGACCATCGAAAAGTAACTTGAAAATTTTTTTACCATCGTTCAAAATGAGTATATAATGATGAAGGTTTTTTTTTCGTAGAAGAATAAATCTAATATATCAGAAGAAGATTAACAAAAAGTAACAAGCAAATAACCGTTCTGAATTTTATCTGTAGTTTTTTTTTTGGGGGGGGGCGTAAAGAAACCTGGAAACAACTTTAATGTATCTTTATTTATTACCTGTCAAAAAGGAAAAAAAAACATGTTCCTCCAATGTACAGTCACTTGTCTTTGAAATATATGCTTTTTACACGGAGCAATATTTTATACACATTCGTATGGCACGTTAGGAGATTTGTGTATATTGGTTTTCCTATTTTGAAAACGTAATAAATAACACACGGTATTTTAAAAGTTTCCAGAGATGTTGTTTATTTTTCATTAAAAAAATTACTACTGGATATTGACATTCGGAACTATTCATCCGTCTGTTATTTTACGTTACTTGAAAAAGACACGCATTGATAATTAAATGCAGTGTAAAAATTGTCGACTAAAGTAAAAAATAAGTCAATGTGGTATATTTGATAACGAACTATTCACTCCGGCATTCAGTATAAAATATATAATATGATCGTTCCTTGTCATGGTAGCGGGCTTCACCATCATCATCATCATCATCATCATCATCGTCATCATCATCATCATCACCATCATCATCATCGTCATCATCATCATCCTTCGACCTCCCTATCGTTGGTCTAAACTCCATTCACAATCCCTTTCCACGCTGTTCGGTCTTGTATTCCCGTCTCCAAATCCCCAAATGTCTAACCCTGAGTCTCGAGCTATGGTGTCTGAAAAAGTCAATTTTCGTGAGAAGTCACTTACTGAAGGATGCCATTGGAGTACGGATGAGACGATTTCCTTGTTCGTTCGGTGACACTGGCCGGTAAACAAGTAGAGTGCTTATCAGACCGAAAACTGCCAAGGCATGAAGACCCCCAAACGGCGGAATAGGCAAAGTTCTACACGATCTCAACGGTCAAACCGGCGGAAGAAAGCAACTCAAGTCGGGCTGGCGTAAGCAAGGCGGACCTTGACTGACCAAATATCCGATAGCCCAATACAATCAGGTTTGCCAGATCTTGTCTGTCTCAATCCACTTTGAATTGGTTTTGGCTAACACTGGGTTTCTCCGTCACACCGTGTTGTCCACTAAACTCAAATTCACGCGTATGGCCTCGTCAAACTCTCTTTGACTCACAGCCATTGCCGTCACCGCGGGTGGAGAAGGAGAGAAATGGAATAAGGAATGAAAGGATGATGGTTCCAATGTTCGGATGCGAGTGGGCGCCGACGAATGATGGCCAGAATTTATTTAAAAATTATGTAAAGTAGGTTAAATTGGATTTCGATTTAAATGGAGTGAATATTTCTAAAATAATTCATTTTTCTTTCTTTTTATGTGCCGTGTCCTTTCAGGACGTAGGCGGTCATGGCTCTCCACTTTCTCCCTATCCCTTGCAGCTCTCAACAAGTTCCGTCTCTCTGCCGCCTCACCCAGACGACATTCTGTCATCCACTTGCTTAAGCTCGCTAGGTATGTCATGCGTTGTTTTCTCTTGTCTCTCTTACCTCTATTCGACCCGTGAGTATCAGATTCTCCAGACCATCCTTCCGCATTAAATGTCCCAGAAACTTCAGTTGCCTCTTCCTGATATTAAGTATAAGCGTCATCCTTGTTTGCATCCTCTACCTCAACGTTGCTCACACACTCGGTCCATGATATCCTTAACATCCTTCTATAGAACCACATCTCCATCGCTTAGAGTCTTCATATTTGAGGAGACCGTCCTGCATTCGGTGCCGTAATGGAGGACAGATGTCACATAACAGTTCAGTACTCTTTTCTTTGTTACCAAAGCAATACTCCTGTCTCGCAATACTTAGCCCAGCTTTCGGAATACGTCCTTGGCTATCCCAATACGTCTACGGATCTCGGTGTCGCACTGACTGTCCTCTGTCAGAACGCTTCCCAAATATTTAAACTTCTGCGTCTGTGTGATTCTAGTGTTCCTGACCTGCAAATCGCATTTCGGGATCATTTTTTTTACTGATGACCATGCATTCTGTCTTCTTGTAGTTTATGCTGAGTCCTCTCTTCTCACTTTCCTTCGCTACCTTCTGTAGGAGATGTTGCAATTTCTTTTCCATGTCTGTTATCAGTACTGTGTCCTCTGCATATCTCATGTTGTTAAGATTGTGGTTACCAATGCTGAATCCCGGTAGAGTCTCCAATTCTTTTAGAATTGCCTCATTGTATAGGTTGAACGGGTCCGGTAAGAAGACACATCCTTGTCTTAAGTCAATTTCTATTTCTGTATATTCGCTGAACTCGTTCTCTATTCGCATGCATGCTGTTTGCTGCCAGTATAGGTATCTTGATTATTCTAATATATTTCCCGAATATATCAAGGTTGCTGAGCAGTTCCAACCGATCCTTGTGGCGTACGTTTTCGAAGGCCGTTGCGTAGTCATATTTTCACTTTGTTTTTGTGTTTTTTCCCTGAAAACTATGCTATTCAGAACAGGATTACTATTCAGGGTTTAGACTTGGGTGGCTAGCAGTATGCATGCTGTGTCGGGTTTCAATTCACATTTCGTCAACCAATACGACAAATCGTTTGTCAAACTAAGAGCAACAGTAAAAGTCATAGCTGTTTGCTGTCCATTTCAAACTGTCCATGAGGCGCAATTTGTTTATCTTGATTTTAGTTTCTCTTTCAGCACCCTCTGTTTGCACCCTCTTTCAGCACCCTCTGTTTGCACCCTCTTTCAGCACCCTCTTCTTTTATCTCGATGTTCTCTTGTACAAGCTTTTACAAGTGTCTATTCACTGTTTACCACGTACAAGTCCAATAACTTAACAGTCAACATTTGAAAGGTCCTTAACGACACCGAAAAATTTACGTATATATTATATAAAGTACAGTAAAAATCAGAATTCAATTGGGTTTTCCATATATAGTTTTGAAAAAGGAGGGTACCTGAAATTATAATGCATGACTAAATCTTCTAAGACGATTGTTTTATAATAATAATAATAATAATAATAATAATAATAATAATAAATATAATGTCGATAAAATATCTGTGGCCACTAAACGCCAACTTTCCATTGACAAGATATTGCATAATTTCAAGATTCACGCCGACCTCGTCCTTGAGGTCACTAAGCCAAACATCATCGTCGTTGACAGAAGAAAAAAGAAAATCGGCAAGGTTGTTTCTAGTGACCATAGCTCCAACGTCAAAGAAATACATCTACTTCCGGATTGAAGTTTTCAAAATGTGAGACTTCCACGCCACTGTTATCCCAGTTATCATTGGAGCACTTGGGTCAATACAACCGAACTCAAAATCCTACATGGAGAAAATATCAATACTGTCTAGTATCCCATCACTTCAGGGGTCTGCGTTACTAGGCACTGCGCATACTTTGTGAAAGGTGATATTTGTGTGAGGGCGAACGCCTTGATAGAGAACACCTATAAAGCAAGATCTTCGGTTGAAAAAAAAATCAAGCTATAAAAGATGAAATAATAATAATAATGTTGATAATAAAAACATTATGTTTACCAGTAAGTATTTTATGTATTGTATAAAGCCTGTTTACTTGGCACAGCACGGTCAGAGAACTCCTGGATACCGAAATGTGCGGCCTGTAGCTTGACAGCCAATGAGTGCAAAACCAGCTAATAATATCCAACAAACTGCGCAAAAAAGACAAATAATAATAATAATAATAATAATAATAATAATAATAAATCAAATGTTTACTTATCTCAACTCGGACTATCACATATTCTGATATTAACTCTGGAGACAGAAGTATTATGGTTGTCTCCTGATGAGGCAATTATTATAAAAACATTCCAGAAATATCCTACTCGACAGTCTTGGGGGCGAAAGAAAGTGCTTGTTGATATAATGATAACTATAAATTCCACACACACACACATATATACACACACACACGCGCACACACACACACATATATATATATATATATATACACACACACATATATATACACACACACGCACACACACACACACATATATGTGTGTGTTTGTGTGTGTGTGTGTAAATATATGTGTAACAGCAAAATTGTCCAATTGTTAGATTAAACTATGAAACGTTCTATCTTAGAAATAATTACAGATTTCTTACTGGAATTTTAGTTGTGACAAATATTCTGTTGAGTTTAGAAAAATTCTTTTCGATTGTAGATGTGATAGGGTTAGTGGATAAAACAATATATTGTTTTGATTCGTTGGGTTTATCCGGAGAGGCCGCTTTCCTATTTGGGAATATTTTAAGATCATTATTTTTTTCGCATTGAATATGAAAAAAATTAGGATATTGGAAGACCAGAAAAGTATTAGGTTTGAAAACCAAAGCATAAAAAGTTGATTTTTGTTCTAAATTTCAAATTCTCAGCGTTTCTCGTTTGTGCTCATGTGTAGCCACATCAACGTAAACAAAGTACGATTGGGACGAAACGCTTAACACGGATACTTTTCCACTTTGTCATTCACACACACACACACACACACACACACGCGCGCATACACACACACACACGCATGCATACACACACATTACAGTACGTACATATTCTAAAAAACAAAACATAAATTTAAATAATCGTTGTTTGATGGTTGCAAGGGCTGGAACATTTTCCTTGTTTTCTTTATTGGCCAATCAAATAAAATAAAAAGTTCATATCATTGAATTAAAAAAATGATATGTTCCGGAAAGGGATATATTTGAACGAAGTAGCTAAGTGGTTTTGGCTACTATAACCAAGTAGAATACGGTAGCAGTAATCGACTGGTACGCGTCGTAGTCGCAGGTAAGAAGTGTAGATCAATGACGTAGTCCAATGGGCGTCGTTATAGACTTAGCTCTCAGACTAAGGCTCTTGACTCTCCTACACGTCCGTCGGTACTTATGACGGACACCAGCCAATCATATTCCATTATATCAAAAAAAAACTTCTGTTGAGAAACATATCGACTGGCCTTTTTAAAGTACGCTGCAAAAGTGCAAAGATCTGAAAAAGCATGAATGAGTAACGGCTAAACGACCAATATATTTGCTATATAAGTAGGATGCCTAGATTTTTATTGCTAAACTCAATCTCCCCACGTTTAGGATTTTTACCAGAGTAAGTACATTAAACGGATCCAGTATCGTGCAAAAACTGCATCTGCATAGTTCTGACACATATACCGTGAAAGAAACCCCAAAATTTCAAAAGGTATTTCTGGAAAGACACGAGTCAGTGGTAATGAGGTTCCAGGCCCGATAACATGCCTCATCTTTTAGGCAATATCTGATAAATTCTGCATTGAAGGGCCTGCAGCTGTTTTTTAACACACACTCAGACACACATGCGCGCACGCACACACACAGACACGCACACAAACATACCGGTTGTAAAAGCAAAATTGTTCAAATCGAATAACAGTATAATTATCCATCTTACACAATGTTTGATATTTAAGACATCACTAAACTAATTGTTATATAGGAATAAAGTGTCGCTGCCGACACTTGAGTTTGAACATAGATCGCCAGTGAGCAAACACAGGCGATCCCATTGTTGAATTTAGTAGAGCACGTAACCATTGAGGAAACGCATATGTGTAGGAAGTAGCTGACGACTGACGATCGTTATCCCTAGTCTATCCTCTATTACTGTTCGGAATTTTATTTCTATTCTATCCTATATTACTATACGATCACCATTTCTAGTCTATCCTCTAATACTATACGAAACACCATTTCTAGTCTATACTATTTCTCTACTCTCTTTACTATACTATTTCTCTATTCAGGTCACTATACTGTAGTTACTTTCGAGTGAGTATTATCGAGCAAGTACTATTAGTGCGAGACATATTCGAAGGCGTCTGACACCAGCATTGTTCAACGGCGTACTATAGTTGTATCGGTGATTACAAAGACTCTACTACAACGAGCATTACGAAAGTGACAACGAGTATTCGTTGGCATTGACGAACTGGCAACGAGTGTTCGTTGACATCAGAAAACTAATTGAGTTTATTTTTCCAGATTTTCAGACGTTTAGCCATCTATATCATTTGTCCTTTGTGTATCACTATAAAACGATTTGAGTTATTCAGTTAGAAAGAAAACAGGTTAAAATCTTCCCATCTGAGCAATGGTGAGAGGAAAAAGATTATTCAGGCCTTCAGTAATGCTACCAACATTCATACACTGGCTTCCATCTTCAAAGTCCATTCATGAACCATCAAGGGAATGGTGAATAAATTTTAAAAAATGAGAACAATAAAAAGGAAAACTGGATCAAGAGGTCACAACAGGAAGAGGGATCATCATTTCAGCTTAGTGCTAAATGCATTCTTATTGTTCTTATATATGTATGTATGTATGTATGTATGTATTGCTCATTACGAAAAAATATCGTATTTAGTTAATACGCGTCTTTGAATAGTTATTTTTTTAGGCAGTGTAATTGACGTCAATCGGCTTCGGTTTTCGGGAGTTTTTAATATAGATAATATACCTATACAAATACATTAGATTATATCTTATTTGTCACCTTATTTATAGCTATTATTTTTAATTCTCCGTTGATAAACAAATGATAAATCTCTCGGAATCATTAAGCGATATACATATATATCCCTGAATGATACCAAATAAATACCTTAGATTTACCATTCACTATAAAATGTTAAACATATCTAACCCAATGGAATGTCCCACACTCCCTATCGCCTATGTGTAATGACTATATCAGTAGCTATATATAGTGAGCACAGGGTATACCTGGGGGCATGCTTTGGCAATTAGTTGGAGATTCATCCCCAGCTGTGCTGTTCGATCTCTCTGCCTTCGAACAGAGAGGTATCCAGACGAGACTATGCCGATAGCAGCTACCTAACCCCGTGTATACGGGGTTTACGGGGAATTTTTCCCCGAGTTTACGGGCTCGGTTTTGCTCCGCATTAAAAAAAGGCCTTGTGCTACATCCTGCCTCGCATGGAGGTAAAGTAAATATCCTTGCTTCGACATGTAGTTAGAGATTCGTCTCTAGCTGTGCTGCCGAAGGGAGAGAGGAACCCAGACGAGTCTATGCCGAAGGGCAGAGTCTCGTCTGGAGTTGTAGATAGCTACCCGACGCCGTGTATACGGGGTCAATGGGGAAGTTTTCCTCGGGTCTACGGGCTCAGTTTTGCCCAGCATTAAAAATGGCCTTGTGCCACATCCTGCCTCTCGGTGAGGTAAGGTAAATAACCTTGCTTCAGCAATTAGTCTAGACGAATCTCTGTCTCCAACTGCGCTGGTCAAACTCTCTTCCTCCGGGCAGAGAGAATCCCCAGACGAAGGTTTGTCGAAGAGCAGAGTCTCGTCTCGAGAATTTTTGGCCAATATTACGGGCTCGGATACCCGACATTAAATTAGGCCTTGTACCACATCTGAACGTGTGGATCGGTTGGTGTCGACATCTATCAACGTATCACAAACAATCAAAATATAAGCATAGGACAATTATTAATAAAAAAAATGATAAAATATTATACAGCATTGACTGCAAGGAGAGACTCAATATACTACAGTGTGATTGAAAAGTAAATCCCTATTTTATGTATGACTGGTCAGCAAGGAGTCCTGACACCTTGCGTTTTTTTTCTTTTCTTTGGTGATCGTTTAAGGAAGAAGTCTACTTTACCAAATTCTTTGAAAGAACTTGAAGGGCGAATACAAGAAGTTATGTCTTCCATACCAAAAGAGTGCCACGTCAAATCAGTTGACACGATTCCTAGGCGGTACGAGAAGCTGGAAGCATAATCTGGAGCCCATATCGAATTTTAAATAAAACCTCATGCTAAACGCTTTCCTGTCATCTCCATTTCTTGTAAAAATTATAGTTAATAAATGAATTATAAGTATTATAATAGTGGGAATTACTTTTCAATCACCCTGTATATGGTGTGTTTGAGTTTATTGAAGATTTAATACTGATTATTATATTACATTTTTTTTAGAGTAAGTTTTTTTAATAGAGTACGTATCGCAGATGTTTATCCGTTTGATTTATGTACCTCAGTATGTACCTGATTGTCATAAAGAAACTTTAAAGAGATTCTGATTGAAAGAGACTTGACGCAATGTCAGACGGAAAGAGAATTAAAAGAATATCTAACAAAAAAGGTTTGAAATAAAGTCTGACAGAAGAGACTTGTGAGAAGGTTTCATAGAAAGAGATTTGGAATAAAGTCTGACAGAAGAGACTTGTGAGAAGGTTTCATAGAAAGAGACTTGGAATAAAGTCTGACAGAAGAGACTTGTGAGAAGGTTTCATAGAAAGAGACTTGGAATAAAATCTGACAGAAGAGACTTGTGAGAAGGTTTCATAGAAAGAGACTTGGAATAAAGTCTGACAGAAGAGACTTGTGAGAAGGTTTCATAGAAAGAGACTTGGAATAAAGTCTGACAGAAAGAGACTTGAAAGAATATTTGACAGAAATAAACTCGAAATTAAGCCTGGCAAAAAGAGACTTCAAAGAATGTCTGACAGCATGAAGCGTGAAAGAATGTCTGACAGAAAGACTTGAAAGAAAGTTTGACTCAAACTGACTTGAAAACTGTCTGTGAGAAAGAAACTTAAAATGAAAGACACCTGAAATAATGTCTGACAGGAAAAATCTCAAGCAACCAATTAGACACAAGATGCTGGGCTAAATTATAAAAAAAAATAAAAATTTGTCTGTGACCTCTAAATCAGCAGCGAAGGAACAAAATAAATCGGTTTTACTATCGGAGAATTTGGACACTAATTTAATTTTCAGTTTTTACGATCTTGTCAGATAATCTTCATAAAATTTCTTTGAAATTTTTTTTATTGTTTCTTAGAATCACTTATTTTAGGAATGCCTAAAAGTTTTAATTCAATTCAATTTTTGATTTGCATTTAGTCAAGTTTTAGAAGTTAAAGCCAGTTAACTATTAACTGCATGGAGGCAGGTAGTATGGTCGTTGGCAAGGGGAGCAATCTAAGGTATTGACTACGGATAGGATATGTCAGAATTAAAGACAAATACGTGGGTAGTGTTATAAACGACGAGGGAAAATGCCTCACAGGAATGCATAGACGCAAAGGGAAAGATATCTTGCAAAACTAGAGCATTAAGAAAGCGAATGATTTTGTTAGAACCAAAGAAAAGAGAGCTGTACTTTTATGTAATTTCCGTCTTTATTTACGGCACCGAATGTTGAACACCTTACTCGCAGAAGAAAATGAAGGTTGAAGCTGCAGAGATATACTGTATATACCATGGAAGGAACATGTGAGCATATAGTGAGGAAAGAAGGCTCGGAGAAACTGACACTCACATATTGAGCGCAAGAGGGACACGGGGAAGGGTTGAGTAACCTGCTTAATGATTATGGATGGCAGGGCGGGGATCGAGAGGGATTGTAAAGGAATAAAGGTTGCTTGGAGCTACAAAGGAACGAAAGCTGTGGAGAGCGATGATTGCCTACACCATGAAGGGAGATGATATATAAAAGAAAATCTAGAAATCTTTGAAAGATAAAATGAAACTTGATTTCTGATGGTAGGCTCTTTTTTACCATCATCATCACCATCATCATCATCGTCGTCATCATCATCATCATAATCCACTTGAGTTTTGTAATCGTAGTCGGGATGCGAACGCAGAAGCCATATTGTATCTCTTCCGTAACGGCCTATCAACGGCAGCCATCAACAGTTCTGGTATAGTCATACTTATACATCGTTTGACATTTCCCAACAAGTTTTGCGTTGGCGTCCTCTCCTACGTCCACCTTCAACGAGGTCTTGCATGACGGTATTTTTAATAACACTTTTATAACGCTTGCAAATAGTGTATCATCTGAAATAAATTTTGTCTTTGGGATTAAAGCACTGATGACACATACATTGACGCCATCATAAAAGTACAGGATGTGGAATTAATAAATGTTAAACTGTTATATACCGTATCTATGAACACTAATGGGTATATCCCAATCCTCATAAATACGTTGGACACTATTCTAAGTTGGCGGTAATATGCTGTCTAAGTAGTCAACCCCTAGAAGTGGTTTACCTACTTTACGCCGCTGGCGAGTATTGTATTTTGTTGATGTTATAAAGATTACCATTTCATTTCCAACCTCCGTTTTGGTTATTGCTCATTCAGTAACTCTTCCTAGGTTACAGCATAAACATTTCAGATAACACTCGGTTTATGGATCAGCTATAATAAATTACGTATAGGAGAAAAAGACATTGAACATAGAATATATTGTACCAGGTGTAGTTTCTCGCAACACCGCAAAAGAGTAACCTGAAAACTCGACTCATATTCTTAAATAGCCTCGTCAGACTTCCATGTCGGTGTCATGCATGGTACAAAACGCATTAATAAATATCTAGACTGTCAGCTTTATACAATCTCCCCCGAAGACAAATGGTATGAGTAAAGCCCGGGGGGTTCATGGCAAAGATCATCCTGCTTTCAAAATTGTGGACTGACACTAAAGAAACACAAAGAACAACCAAATAACAGAAACCACATCACTTGGGGACTACCAACAGCAGCAACAACTAAAATGGATAGTACATATTACTCGAAGAGAAAATAATTACATAATCATGTAGTGAAAGAGATGATCAGCTACCTCGAAAAATAGTTTGTGTTTTGTGTGCGATCTACCGAAGAAAAATTACCAAAAAGTAGTCAGCAAAAGTCTGCTTTAAGAACCAGAATCTTGGCTAATGTTCTTCGCTCCCCTGAATGGCGTGACCAATCAGAAAAATCTCTCTGTGAAAAAAGCCGTTGTTTTTCGCTATGAACAGATTTGATTTTCTGAACTTGGTGGACGAACACGCGTTTTTGCTGGTGAGATGTGAAGGTTGGATTCGTGAACCCATTTTCTCGTTTCTACGTTGCCTGTTGGACTGTTACGACGGACTATCGTTTGAACTGTGATTTGGCTACAAGTGTCGAGAGACAGTTGAAATCTATTGCAGACGTTTATTGCTAGTTGACAGTTTCCTTTTTTTGCTTTTCTTTACAACTACAAATCAAGATGTTAACATTCTACACAACATCAAATAGAATGTTTGGAAGGAAACCCCATAAATACTGGAAAGAGCGATAACAGCTACCGGACTTGAGAAAGTTGTTTTCATAAAAAAAAAGAATTGTGTTTTAAGAGAAAGATTTTGTAAATTTCAACTGACAATAGTACTAGCTGCTTGGTCAATGAATGCCAAATATTTCCTTAATTAGAAACGGCTAATATCAAAATATTAAGAAAAAAAAAGAAATACTATTATAATGATATAATGAGAATGATGACATAATTAAGATGTAGATATTCCACCCTACTTCAAATAAAAGGTTAAGAAGGAAACCTCCATCAACACTGGAAAGATCTATAACAGCTACCGAACTTGAGAAAGCTGTTTTCATAAAAAAATTAATTTAAGAGAAAGATTTTACAAATTGCAACCGAAAACAGTACCGGCTGCTCGGTTAGTGGATGCTAAATGTTTCCTTACAAGGAAAAATACTAATATTGCCATTAGTATTAAAATTTTAAATCTAACCATTTCTTCATTCCTGCATTGGTTCCACACGGATCAACCGAAAATTTAAACATATACATCATTACACTTTAGGATGCGTTAGTCTGATTACCAAACGTACTAGACGCAGTCTTTCATTTACTGACATCAGCAAAGTCATTTTCCACAGCTGATTTTAGTTGTTACATGTTTTAATCATATTAAGCTATTTTTTTAAAAGATATGATAAATTCCGATGAGCAGCATATCGATCGACCATTGTGTAGGTGTACGTTGATTAGGACGTATATAATCGATCAGGTGCACATTGACATGAAGTACTTTGTGAACTTCTAGTAGGCGTCAACGAGCGCGCGTGCGTGCATGTGTTTGAACTGGTGATTACCTATTTTGCCATGTCGCGCATCACACACGCGTGCGCGCCACGGCACAAACACACATAAATGGATGAGCGTGTGTATGTCGATTGTAGCATATTTTCTAAAAGATTTTGAACGAACGTAGCGAATGGATAAAAGATCAAAAATAAAAACATGGCGTTTATTGAACGTGTCAATGATTTGCCTTGGTTTGTTTTACGGTATATCAACCTCAATGGGTTATTTAATGACGACAACATTTTTATTGCTGGTAATTTTTTTTTCAAAAACGTATGATAATTTTAAAATTAAAAAAAAATGTATTGCTGGTAATATTTTTTAAAATGTATCACTGATAATATTTTTCTTTTTCAAAAATATACTTATGGTAATAACACTGTTAATATTTCCTGTTAATATTTTTTTCAAAATGTATTGCTGGCAATATATATATATATATATATATATATATATATATATATATAAATCATTTATGTTTAACGTTATATTTTTTTTTATAGATACAAGTATTTAATAAATGCTCTGTTCATAATAAACAGTATTAAATAACATTTACCGGCCTGAATATTTACTTAAATACTTGTATCTATAAAAGAACGTTAAACATAAAAATGTCTTTAATAAATAAATTGTCGGACTTTGTCCATTTTATATATATATATATATATATATATATATATATATATATATATATATATATATATATATTTTTTTTCCAAAATGTATTAATCATTTTTTTTTCAAAAATCTATTGTCGCTAATATATTTTTTTCCAAAAAATATATTGCTGTAATGTACTGCTGATAATAATTTTTTTCTTTCAAAATATATTGCTTGTAATATTTTTTTCAAAAGTGTATTGCTGGTATTAAAGCCTATTTTTAAAATTTCATAGTGTTTTGACTCCAGTTTGGGGGTTGACTATTTGCCCATAGCTGGGACCCTAACAGGTAATTACCACCCCGGATCAGGGGGGTACCTGGGAACACCAGCAATTAAGAGGTGGTTCCACGCTTCTAAAAACCACGTGAGCATAGACCTTGCTGTCGAATAAACGTCGCGGATGTAGTTTATCGTCTTACACAGGACGGGTATTAATTGTAATAATATTAAGTGAACATGATCATGAAGTGAAAATGAACTCGAGCCCTAGGTCGAGCTTAAGTTACGATAAGCGCTCAAGCTAAAAGGTTTTCTCTGAGAGACCACCCGTTCATCGCGATAGGTGAAAATTCAGAGTCAGGTCGGGGAGGATGGAATGTCATCAGTTTGGTTTTCATGATATTGGTGTGATATTCGAAAACGATTGAAGTTTTCTCTTTATAGTGAAATTTATAACAACTGGCCTAAATTGAGTAGTCCTACTAAAAAAGAAAAAAAGAATCGAACCTGTACTCCATTTTTTGCCGTTAAAGAAACCACTTTTTTTTTTAAACCAAAGTGTGCCTATACCTGTTCGACTACGAAGGTAACTTAGTAGGGCAAAATTTGAATATAAAACGGAAAAAAGAAAATGGAATAGCCAATAGGCGCTCAAGACACGTGACGTCTCTGAGAGAAGAGTCCGTTCATCACGATACCCGAAAATTCAGGGTCCGTTCGTTGATGATGGAATATAACCAGTTTGATTTTTTGGTGGCATTGAATGTGACCAGCTAGTTTTCCCCTGACTCATCTGTTAGAGCTAGGTCAGAGAGGGGATCAGC